GTAAAATCGACCTAACGAGAGCATATCATCAGATCCCCGTCGAAGAATGCGATAACCCCAAGACCGCCGTCAGTACACCTTTTGGTCTATTGGAGTTCCTGCGGATGTCGTTTGCCCTGACAAACGCTGCACAAATCTTCCAAAGGTTCATTCATGACGTTACGCGCGACTTAGATTTCGTATATCCTTATCTGGACGATATTTTGGTAGCAAACGCCTCCAAAGCAGAACATCTGGAACAACTGCAACTGCTGTTTTCCTCTTCTATGCGATCGTAGAGTTACCATTAACCCCGCTAAGTGCGAGTTGGGTAAACGTCGGTTGATTTTCTGGGTCATCGGATCTCTGCATCCGGTACGGAGGCCCTTCCTGAAAAAGTTGATGCCATCAAAGATTTTCCTGAACCTTCATCTTTCAAACAACTCAGACGCTTTCTCGGCGTAGTAAACTACTACCGTCGTTTCATCCCCAAGTGCGCAAAGATAATGCAGCCTCTAACGGACTTGCTTCGTGGCACTCAGTGTACTTTCGTTTTTACCGATGCTGCTCGATCAGCTTTCGCAGAACTTAAAAAAGCCGTTGTGAACACTGTTCTGTTGATACATCCACGACCAAATGCTCCTCTTTTTTGGTAACAGAAGCTTCGAGTGAAGCGGTAGGGACGGTCTTTCAGCAGTTCGTCAACGGGTCTTGGTAACCACTAAGTTTCTTTTCGAAATAGTTGCGACCTGACGAAACCCGTTACAGCACGTTTGGGAGGGAACTTCTCGCAGCTTATTAAGTCATTCCCTATTTTCGACCACTCCAGGGTAGAGACTTAATAGTTTTCACCAACCAGAAATCCTAAGTCTACGCCATAGGTTCATCCTTCTGAAAATACTCTCCCAGTGAGAACCGCCACGTAGGCTTGGTCACAGTTCACGTCAGACATACGGCACGTCTTAGGTGTGCAAAACTTTGTCGCAGACGCCTTCGCCCTCGTCGATTCAATTACACATAGTCACAACATCGATCTAGCAGCAATGGTCACTGCACAACAGACCGATTCGGAGGTTAATCAACTTAGCACGTCCAATTCCCTCCGCGTCCGACCAGTTCCGTTACCAAGCTTCGAAGAAGCGATTCTTTGCAATGTCTTGCAGTAACCCGCACCCTATAGTTCAATATACCTTTCACCGTACGGTGTTCGACACACTCAACTTATCGCACCCAGGCATTCGCACCTCGATAAAGCTCATGATGCAGCGTTTCGTGTGGCGAAACATCAACCGAGACGTTAGTCAGTGGGCCCGCACATGTCTTCGTTGTCAACAGTCGAAAAGTAAGCGTCATGCAGCCGCACTTATTAGTCGTTTTCTGACAGTCAGGTCTCGACTCGCCCACACCCACATGGATATCGTCAGTCCCCTTCCATCAACGGCATGGTTTACCTGTTGATAATCATCGACCGCTTCGCCAGGTGGCCAGAAGCAGTTCCGCTACCAAACGTTAGCACGGAGGAGATCCTTCGAGCTTTCATGAGTCACTGGGTCTCCCTGTACGGTTGTCCAGCAAATGTAACGACAGACAGAGGACCACAGTTCTAGAGTGCACAATTTCAAGAGACGCTAAAACTTTTAGGCTGAAAGCATTCCCCTACTAACTACTACCATCGACAATCGAACGGTATGGTAGAGCGTTTTCATCGTCAATTAAAGGCCAGCCTCACTGTAGCCAACCCTCTTCAATAGACAGAGGCTTTACTTACTGTCATGTTAAGCATACGCGCTAGCCTCAAAGTCAACCTGCGGGTAGCTAGTGCCGAACTACTTTTCGGCCAACAATTTCGTTTACCTAGAGACTATTTTTCTACAACTCCAGACGCCATCGTCTACGACGCTTCTTTTGCGAAGCAACTCGTGTTACGCATGCTTCGTTTCGCGCATACTCACACCCGTGTCCAGAGCCGATTCAAACTTGTAGGTATATATTCCTACGAGTTGACGGCGTCAAACGTCCCTTAGCTGCGCCATATAAAGGATCAGTTAGAGTCTTCCAACGGAACGACAAAGTATATGCCATCGATCGCCAGGGAAAGCGTGAATCCGTATCTATCAGTTGCTTAAAAGCTGTTCATATCGACAGCGACAATGTCACCACAAAGACGCATATTCCTACGTTAACAACCCACAGACCTAGCAGTCCAGCGACGTCCGCTGAAATTCCTCCGACATCGTCCAGTACACCGAGAACGACTAAGTCAGACAGACAGGTACATTGATTTCGTCGTTTTGTTCAGATAGTGCTGTTTCCTGCCTAGATCCCTTTTACCATTTTTGAAGATAACAAAAATAGGGTGAAATGTTTCGAAAGTACCACAGGAAAGAGTAGAGCGTTTTGAAAACCCAAAAAATCTCATAAGCTTATTTTAGTTTAGCACTTATTATTGTCATGCACTTTATCACTACTGCTTTTGTGCTCTTTCCATGTACGCCTGGCAACTCGGTCGCAGGCTCACGATGGAGCCGGACGCCTCGACTTGTGCAGTGAACATTTCCCACTGAACTGCTACCTACCTACAAACTGTTCTTTTAAGCAGCATTGTTTCGTTTCGACACCGTTAGGGATGACAAGGTTGGAAGCCTGCTAGGATGCGATCGCCTGGTTCTCACCCAGCAGCTGTATCATGTTTCACCATCTGGTCTCGCAGAAAGCTGGCCCGCGAAGGATAGTCCTCACGTAGATGGATGACTACTTACATAGTTCCTTCTGGGGGAGGGCTGTGTATCAATCTGGAAATTCCCCCGGTTTGCCAGAGTATGTTGTGTAGAATGCTAAATCAAATCTCCTTCTTATTGCACACAGAGGTTGTTTGCAGTATGCGGATCTGTACGTTGCATTTGTTTGTCTGACCCAAAACATACGCGATGTTTACACACGGCGCCATGGTGGGATTCAACACCCCGCTCCATCGCGCGGTCCCTCACGTCATTCGCTAGGTAGTTCGCATCACCTGGTGTCGCATTTTAGCCAATACACGGGAACAGTGTGTAACACAAAACACTTTCGTCCAGTGACTTCGGTGCCTTCTCTTTCATCACGGGGAACGGCATCCGCCAGTAGTCTGTTATCGTGAGACGGCCACTATCGCTACAAAATGGCACAAGCATGAGCCGAAGTAAGAACAACCGTTCGAAAAACAAACTATTGTAATCTGACGGGTATTCAACTAGGGTGAGTACAAGTAGTGAGATATCATCATCATCATCATTATACACGTCAGCTAGAGGTGGGAAACACCTCAGCTACTGTGCCGCAATACATAAAGGAAAAGGAAAATAAATACAACAGTTGCACGCCAGCTGAGCTACCAGCAACGGATAGGCATTATTCCGGTAAGCTACCAGCCGGCCACCAGGCAAAAATGTATTATATTTTACACTATGAAATGAGATCGTGCGTGGAGGGGGAGGGTAAAAGGGATGGGGAGGGACAAAGAAACTCACAGCAGGAATGCCACTGAAGTCGGTTTCTTGCCATGTCAGCAAGTGCATCCAGCCAAACGTGTTCACCGTCTTCTGTACCCCAACCAGGGAGCCGAGACGCTCCAACCGAGGCTAGCTCCGAAGTAAGGGCCTTCATTCCTCTCGACCAAGTCTTCGCTTGGCCACACCTACTCTTCTTTCATCCACATTCTCGGTGAGCAAATAACACACGTCGTAGAAGTCGGTGGGCTGGCATGCGTAACATGTGGCCCTGGTGCGTGAAATGACGGTGCTGAGCGGTTCATTTCCTTTTTCTGTGCCGTAAACAAGGCATCGAACATGCTCGTTACTCACGCGGTGTTCCCACCAGATGTGAGCTAAATTGCCAAGGCACCGATGGTCGAACGTAACTAGCCTCGTCATGTCTGCTGATCTTAGGGGCCAGGTTTCGCAACCGTACAGTAGGGTCGAACTTACCGCTGCATTGTACATTCTACCCTTCAGGGCGAGAGTAATATCGCGCCGCCGCCATAGGTGGCGAAGGTTAGCAAAAACACTTCGAGCACTTGCTATATGGTTCGTGACCTCGTCTTCGATCCCAAGGGCGCTGATACAACTTCCCAGGTAGTTGAATTTTTGAACGACTTCTAGCTGATCCCTACCAATGGTCAGCGCAGGAGGCGATGGCTGCCAATCTTGGAGGAACGCTTTGCATTTCGATGGTGCAAAGCAAAGCCCGAAGCAGCTGACAGCCAGTGCTAATCTGTCCAGCGCGGATTGGCACGTCTGGGAACTGTCACAGATGAGAGCAATGTCGTCTGCATACTCCAAGTCAAGAAGTCGTTCTCCTGGGACTAGCTCCACACCTTCCAAGTCATGTCCTGTAAATGCAATCTTCATGACTTCGTCAATAGCGAAGTTGAATAGGAAAGGTGACAGCGGGCATCCTTGTCTCACACCGCTGGAGATAGTGAAGGGTGGCGACAGCTTGCCGTAAGCCCTCACTCTGCCCGTGCTACGCGCATATAATGCTTGGATAATATTTACATATTTATCGGACACACCTTTCCTGAGTAGACAATTCCAAAGGGCATATCGATCAACCGAATCGAAGGCACCTTTGATGTCGAGGAACATGACTACGGTGGGTCGCCAATATATGTGACGGTGATCTAACAACCGACGCAAGGTTATGATGTGGTCGATGCAGCCAAGACCCCGACGAAATCTGGCTTGCTTCTCACGAATATGGCTTTCACAAGCGCCAGTCAGTCTGTGAAGAAGTATAAAGGCGAGTAATTTGGAGGCAATGAAGATCAAACTGATTCCTCTATGGTTGCCGCATTCCGAAAGCGAACCTCCTTTGTAGATGGGAACAATAACGGAACGACTCCAGTCGGTTGGGACAGTCTCCTGCTCCCACAGTTTCGCTAGTAATTCATGTAAAGCATCAACAACAGCAGAGCCTCCAAATTTGAAGAGGGCTGGAGGAAGGTCATCTGGTCCTGCGGCTTTGTTCAACAGTCTGATCTCACGTTAGACTTCTGAACGAGAGGGTGGATCCAAAGGGACGGCCCACGGAGCAGGGCGATCAGTGGCCCGCGAAGAATCGAACAATTCTAGCCGATTAAATTGCTTTTCAAAATGCTCAGCCCAACGCTCCAAACGTTTTGACAAATTGTGGATAGGCTGTCCACTCTCGCCACGTATAGTTTCACCAACACCAGGTCCCCTGCTGCCCGTTTCCCGTATCAGACGGAATAACTTACTATGGTTTCCAAGGGCAGTGGCCACTTCCATCTCTGAAGCACGATGAGACCACCAAGATTCTCGGTCTCTCTTCAGGCTAGCACGGAGTTTTGCCCGGAGCTCTTTGCGACTTTCATTGTGTTCGCTTCCAGCCGGGATATGCAGGTGAGCGTCGATAAGTTCCAGAGACTGTGAAGTGACCCAATGTCCATGTTGGCTATTAGACATACCACATGAGGATTTGCCTGCTGCTAGTAAGTTCTGGCGAACATGTGACCAGTGACCAACAATTGTCTCCAGTGAGCGCTTACGCAACTAGCATATCAGCGTACTTTGATACGCATTCAGAACAGCTGGCTTTGTCAGTTGGCTGGTGTCAATGCTCTCACAGTGTCGTCGTGCGAGATCGCCAAAGCGCATCCGCATGTCAGCACAAACAAGTGCATGATCGGTGTCCACACCTGTGCTCCAAATCGAGCGACAGTTTCGGATGCCGCCTCTCCGTCGGTAACTTAACGCAATGTGATCGATCTACGTCCAAGGCTGGTGGGTTCCAAGTCACGCTCCGGTGGGTGTTGTGTCGGAAGTTAGTGGTCGCAAGAAATAAGCGGGCATCTTCACACAAATGAAGTAACCGCTCACCGTTATCATTACAGGAGCCTACACCGTGCTGACCGCCCAGATGCATTTCATCAGTGGACAACTTTCCAACTTGTGCGTTCAGATCCCCCGCCTGCACAACAGTGTCCGTGCTTCTTCTGCGGCGAAGGAGCTGGGTCAGTTGGCGGTAGAAGTCGTTCTTTACCGAATCATCGCTACAGTTTGTGGGCGCGTAGGCAGTGATGATGAATACACACCTATTAGTCCCGCGCGACTTCAAGGCTTTGAACGAGCCAGCCAATCGGACCGCACACATCCGGCTACTGATTGGAATCCAATCAACCAGAGCAGCTTCAATCAGGGGACTCAGGGCAATGCCAACACCAGCTTGGCCGGTGCTCGAAGCTGCATCGTTACCGGATAGGCGCAATGAGAAAATACTGCTTGCGTCCCCTGAAGGGGATCGCAGAGTGAGCACAGTGCTCCCGTCTTGCAGGCGGGTCTCTGATAAGCGGCAGATATCGATCGAGAGGGTCTCCAATGTTCGGGCAAGTGGTGCCTGTTGACCGATCTGTAGTAATGTGCGTATATTGAAGCATGCCAATCTGAAGGAGGATCGAGGGCTCCAAATGGAAGCCGGTGAACTAGAATGGACCGCTTGGTTGGACATGGGCTTGTCGATAGGGGAGGAGGGACGCTCCGCGTTAGCATATGGGTTGAAATTATAAGATAAATGCCTAGCAAAGCATGTTGGGGGAGGGTCAAGAATCGGAGGGTTGAGAACTGGAGGGATATAAATGAAGTTGGCACGGGACGGTAAGAGTGAAAAAGCGTAAGAGAGGGAATAAGAAGACGGGAAGGCTTGAGCAGTAACAGTAGTAGTAGTAGTGAGATAGGCAGATAATGAACTAATAAGGAAGCATGCAGGCGGGTATGAATATGTGCGTGTCTGGGGTTCTGTGCACTTAGTCAGTGTGCCTAGACCAGCGCCCATGGCGGGGATGAATTGATAGATTGAATACACAACAGCATCTCTCCGGCTAGTCATGTGGCCTGTCGAAACCATATCGATATGTTGGTCTTGTTTCTCGGCTTGTCCGGCGCAGCACAGTGCTGTGGGTAGTTTCGTCGGTGCAGGACGGTTGCACATGCTCCGCCCGTCTCCAACTTGTAAGTAACCTCCGTGCATTGACTGTGCGGCTATCCCCAAGCCGCTAGGTATCTGACACACATGCGCGCGCTATTCTTAACGGATCTGACAATGTGAGTTGTACTTTTGACGTAGCGTTTACCTTCACGGACTGGAGCGAAGTAGTAAGCTTCAGGTAGGTGGTCTGATATCGATGGCGACGATCTAGCTCGTCGGAGTTCTTCGTTGCAAGAATCGGAAGTGCGACATTCAACTTTGTCCGGTCACGCCCAAGCATGAGTTCAGCTGGCGTTTTGTTTTTGGCTCGGTAGTGTGCGGTTCGGTAAGAAATCAGCGCTTGTATAACTGTATCCTCCTAACTTGTTCCAGAGAAACGAATAGCTTAGATACTGTCTTCCCTATTGGGACCAGTGTCCGATGTGTGACGGATGAGCATCCGATGGGCGTTCGAGTGGCAAAAAATTGTGTCACTCATTGGGCGCTCGCCAAGAAAAATTGTGCAGGTCCCCTTTCGAACACCCGGTTTTCCTCTCTGTAGGAATAACCTAGACACATTAACTCCCCTACCATCACCACTGACTACACGTTATTACAATTCCACACATTTGGCGATGTAAACAACACGTAACGACATTGTGCACTAAAGAGCAAGTAACTTGCTGATCAAGATCTTGCTAAGCATCATCATTATACACATCAGCTAGAGGTGGAAAGAACCTCAGCTACTGTGCCGCAATACATAAAGGAGAAGGAAAATAAATACAACAGTTGCATGCCAGCTGAGCTACCAGCAACGGATGTGCATCATTCCGGTAAGCTACCAGCAACGGATGTGCATCATTCCGGTAAGCTACCAGCCGGCTACTAGGAAAAAATATTGTGTTTTAGGCTAAGCAAACCGTTCAGACTCCTATTGTAGCCACGTTTCGGGCTTTTTAATCTTGTGTTTATAATCTAATGCATCTGTACATAAAATGACATGCTGTACGATCACCCGATGAATGTAGGGCATCGGACGCTGGAATGACGGATGATGCTAATAGGGTTACAAAGATTGATTGAAACGCTATACCATGGCGTTTGCCAATGGATTATACGAAGTTGTACGTGAGTGTCGAATGGCGTGAAGTTGGAGGAACGAAGGAAACTCGTGGCTTGTAAACTGCGGACCGTTATCCGTCACTATCTCCTCGGGAGAACATGTATTACAGCCATCGAATAATGCTGGTGATGTTCAGCTCTCCGTATAAATGCACTTCCGGCCATTTACTGTAAACGCATGTCACCACCAAACTGTTCTTTTGATGCTGAGGCGCTGAGCTGAATGGACTAGTGACATCAACAGCTATCTTGGCCCACGGTCGCATAGGATAGTCAATGGGTTGTGTAAGGGAGGAAACCGGCTTTGTGTTCTTGTCTGCCCTTTGACATGAAGAGCAGTCAGAAACAAGTTTTCTATTTCGTGCAACATTCTGGACCACTAGAAGCATGCGTCAACCTTTCGTTTCGTACAAACGATGCCACGGTGGTTTTCGTGAGCACATAGCGTCAAGCTCCGAGGAGTCACAAATATTTCACTGCGCATTAAACATTCGTCTATAACCGAAGTTCGTGACGCAACAAGTAGTATGGACGAGACTCGCTTGTGATCTTGTTATTTTGTGGTCAGTCGTTTAGCAGAAACCCCTGAACGCGGCAGTGCCGTCTCACAGAATCACTAGCTAGAGTTCTACCTTCGTCATAGCTGAGATTGTTTCACTGTACAGGGAAGACACCAGTAACCTCTCGTCGGCATCCTCGTTATTTTCATTTACGTCGAGTGAAGTCGAGAGAGCCCATCCACTGTCTGGTTTTCTCGCCAGGAACGGAATATAATTTGGAATCATGTTAACAAACGTGTGTACCAGCGATGTATCCGAAGTGGTCGGACGCCATTTGTTCCCCGATTAAACTAGTTAGTGCTGCGTGGTCTGTACGAAGAGTGAAAGGTCTTCTGAACAAGAACAAATGCCACTTCTCACACGCCAAGACGCAGGCAAGGGCTTCTTCTTCCCTAACAGAGTAAGTGAGCTCTGTCGCTGACAATTTCTGTAAGCGCATTACTAACTCTTTCATGCCCATATTGAATTTGTGATCGTAAAGCACTCAACCCAATGTTTGATGCATCAGTAGAGACAATCGGTGAAAAGCATCATGACTGGCGTGGAAACTATGTGGCGTTTTATCTAGTCAATCGTCGTTTATAGGGGTGATCTCAAACAAATACACTTTTTCCTTCGTCAGTTCATGCAGTGGCTTAGCAATGTTATAAAATTCTGCAGGTAACGTAGGTTGTAAAAACAAATAGCTAGGAAATGCATTATTGCAGTGGATTTCTGTGTACAAGGAGCCTCGGTTATGGCATGCGTGTTGTCAACACTCGGCTTCATACCATCAGTTGTTGTAATGTGGCCAAGGAAGTCAATTACACCAGCATTAAATCTGCACTTCTCGAGATTTAACCGGAGATTAAGGTCATGTAATCGACGTAACACAGCGTGCAGTCGTGAATCACGTGTCCTACCGAATACACGGATATTGTCCATGTACGCTAGTTGACCAGGTAAATTAGCAAGTGAGTGAATTATAAACTTTTGCTAAGCTGCTGGGATTGAGCTCAAGCCCATTGGCAAAACTTTGTACTGAAACAGCTCGTCCATTGTAAGAAACGCTGTCAGCGGTCCGAACTATTGAATTAGAGACATGTGAAATAAAGCCTTCCTGAGGTACAATTTAGAAAAACCCGGGCGCCGGCTAGGTTGACTAGTAGTGCATCCGATGTTGGAAGCACAAATTTTTCGACCACAATTTGGCGATTTAGGACCTGCAAATCACTACCTATTCATAAGTACTGTAACCACAGGGTGGACCCATTCGGAACAGTTAATTGGTTCAATGAGATCAACTGCAATCATTTGTAGTACCGCTGACGAAACCGCCTCTCGTTCGGCCAAAAGAATTGGACGTGGATGAGCAATAGCTACCGGTTTAGCGTCCTGCTTCAGACATATGCGGTGAACGGATGGGGGAGCGCGTCCTATTATTTGTTCAAAGAGTTTCGAGTACCCTACTTGTACTTGTGATAGGTTAACCGTCATGATACGCATAGGAGATGGCGTGACTTCCAGTGCAACCATAGCACTGCGCCCGAGTGGGAGACGGTTAATTTTGCGGGTGACCTACACAGCAAGTGATGATTTGATTTGTAAAACAATCACCATAAATCCTAGTATTTTTACCAGGGACTTCTATAACTGTCAAAGCGATAAGCTGAAGAACGTATGGACATGTCATGTAGGTGACTGTCATAAAAACTACTTGGTGCTATAGTAATGGGAGGCGGAATCATGTTCCATGGCAACCTGTGGTGTTCTTTCGCGTGCAATAACTGTAACAGTACAAATATCAAGCATAAGGAGTTCAAGCTCTGGATAGGGGAAACGATAGTGACTAACTGCTGACTAGAAACGGAATCAGCAGGATGCAATTGGGACATGCGCACTGAACGAAAATAACCGGAAAATGTCCACGATTACCGAGCTTTTGCAATCCATTTCTAGGGACGGGTATTTGACAAAATTGACTTTGTGCTGTAGAATGCCGTAGCGGAAACATTTCTGTGGGGATTGGGATTCCGTTGGTGAGCGACGGATCTTGACAATCTCTTGTTTCTGCGTGGATAGCGAAACATCTCGAATGTTCGGCGGTACATGCTTTGAGGCAAGCTTATTCCCCAGTCATATCACAAGCCAATTTGGCAGCGTTTTCGGGAAGTAGACATTCCCGGATTCGGTTATTTGTGATTACACTAATCAACTGTTGTGCTAGCATAAGGCTCCCGATTTTATTTTTCAGTACGGTTGAATACTCGCAGTGACGTAAACCGTGAATGAGGCGATCAAGAAAAATGTCCAGTTTCCGATGGTTCCTGTGAGCCGAGTCATGGAGGTGTACGCTGGTCCCATGACTTATTCAGTACAACTAGTGCTTTCGTTAAGGTATCTTGAGACTGGAGCTCCAAAGCATCAAATTGACGTTGTCTCTCATCACCGGGTAGGGGTCTGAGAGGCTTGTTTCCGGCATTCTGTGTAGTTAGAATTCGCAGGTAGTAGGTCAAGATAATTTGTAAACGATATCTTCCATTGGACCCATGCACTTTCAGTAGAACCTAAGGTCGGATTAGACTAGTACACTGCGAGAGAATGTAACTGTAATTCCATGACATAGGTTCGTAAGCCGTGACGCCAGTGTTGTATACGAAAGGGCACAAGCACAAGTAGGAGCGACCGTTCCGTAAACAATCTACTGCAATCTGGCAGGTGTCTAACTGGGGTGAGTACAAGCAGGGAGACAGGCAGAAAATGAACAAACAGGGAAGCAGCTAAGCGTGTACATGTCTGGGGTAATGTGCACAAGGGCAGTGTGTCTAAACCAGCGCCCATGGCGTGGACGAACAAATAGTGAATACACTATACCGACGG